GTATCAAGGCTTTACTTACTTGTACTGATTAAGTTGATGTGACTTGTATGTTGTAAAATGATTTTGTACGTATTTGTAGCTTTTTGCACATTCAAGTAATGTCAATCTTTACAACACTTGGAGTAGATCTTAACCCTTTAAACCCTCAAGATTGACTAGTATCTAATCTCTTCTTAGTGTAATAGCATGAGTCCATGGTTCATGTATTTAGGCACAGTAATACATGGATGTAATAAATACCACAATGTATTTCTAGGAATAAAATCTTTTTGTCTTTACACATGATATAATTTCCATAGTATAAATGATAAGTGCTGAAAGTTCTGTGAAACTTGGTGACAGCTGAAAGGAAAACTTTCATGTTAATGTTGGAGTACAAGATTGCATGAAGATCTGTTCTGATATCAACATCAGAATCATAAAACTAATTTGCATCATAACAAAATTTATTGCCACTATTTATTTTGTTGTTTCTTTACAGGGAGTTCAGACACACTTGGTTTCATATGTCCTGGATAATGCTGCTGATCTGACTTATGACAGATTCAGTAAAGAAATTGATAACATGATTGGTCGAGACAGAAACTGGACCAACTTGATATTTGCATATTATGTGGGTAAAAGAGTGTGCTTAATGACGTCTGATGCTTGTAGTACAGTGAAGGGCTATTTTGAGCAATACTTGGGTCGCTCATATCGCCGTCCCATGCAAGAGGCTGGTGGAATTGTAAGTTCAACCTCACTGCAGTCAGTGTTTTTGCTTTTATTCACAATTTTTTTCTATTTGGATTGATTCCCCAAAGTATGGCCATTGCCATTTCTTCAAATGGTCTTTATTGGTGTTCAAATTACAGCCATGGCATCTAAATTGTCTTCACTAAAGTACCATTGGAGTCAAGTTACCCTCAGACACCTAGTGAAAAAGTGATTTTTAATATTTATCGTTGCCTGGAATAAAGCTATGTATTGTGCAAGAGTTATGAAAACATTTGTTCTACAATTAGAAAACTCCCTAAGTTTGATTGCCCAACATAGGTTCAAAAAGACTATAACTAGGTCTCATTATCAATTTTTACTCATGAGCTGGACCAGTTTTTCTTCATTTTTTTTTTTCCAGTTCAATACAGGAAAGTTTTGCACCTGATATCTTTTTTTGAACTTATACAATATAAACATGGTTTTGTATCTGTTTCTTTACTCAGGCCCCATTTGTGAATTCTAAAGGTCGTTAAGTGGTGCAGTCAATCAACAAATGAAGCATGTTGCTAAAGAGGAGCTGCTCTGATAATGACAGCTGCTTTGCCTGGCAAGGGATGGCCTTCTTGAAAAACATATCTTCCCACAAATAAAAGGACAATGGGAATGTGCACCCTGTTGCGCACTTCATTTTTTAAAATTCAGTTGAATTAGAGCTGATTTTCTCTTTGCTAATCGATACTTAATTGTTTCAAATTAAAATACACCTTTTTTTAGCAACAGCATGTAGCTGTTAAATTCAACAATAGCGAAGCTAGGTTCAAGAGAGACAAACTTAGGAGATGTTGTTACACATGGTGAAATGACAGCACCCAGGATGCATTTTTTGTCATTACTCTTTGAGAATCACTGTTTATTTGGTGAAATGTATGAAGTTGATTATCTAACATGTCTTGAGTGTCGTAGCCTCTTAATTCTTTTCTATTGTAACTTAAACTTTCTGTATTTTTTTATTCAAAATTAAAGTTGCTGGAGAGCATCACAATATTTGTAGAGTAGTATTTAATAGAAACTTAGAGTTATTTTTCTAGTTTTCGTTTTCTTGATGTAGAAGTTATGAGCTTAAGTCAGTTGCCTAATACTGCCCCCTTCCCCCCCGTTCCCTCCCAAAAAAGGAAAACATATTCTCAATCACAAACATGTAAATTTTGTTTTTATGAGCTTTCTTTAATTGATCATTTCAATTAATTAAATAGTTATATGGCATGTCATGATTTATGATGTTCTTGCTGTTCAGTTATTTCTCAAGAAGACTTTCAACATTTTCAGTTTTAAAATGTGAAAGCAATTCATAATCCGCAGTTCACATATACGATTTCTATTTTCTAGTTAAATCTAAAGGTAAATAAACAATGGAACTGATGAAAAGGTGAAACCTGTAAGATAAACATCATAATGCGTAACTAGGGTAACTCCATTATCGTGTACCAGATCGAGGCACTTTGCGATAATTTTCGCAACGGAACCATCTTGTTCCTGTTCCGAATTATACGCTTTCTGGACTCGGGTAAAATAGTTTAAATTTTCATTATAAAAATTATCGTTATGTTGTCTTCAAAGCTAAACAAAACGTTCGGTACTAGAGGTCAATTTTTTTTCCTTTGGACAAAAAGGATCAATGACGACACCCTCATTAATTAAAAGTCGGTTTAGAAAAGCTGGCCATTCTTTCGTTTAAAGGGTTTTGACAAAGAAGCCAGTCATGAAGAAATGGGTATAGAATGGGCGCCTGTCCGACAAGTAGACTGGCAGTGAAAGGTTGGAGAAAGCGAGTGAATTCTTCAATTTATCATAACCATTACAATTTCATCAAATGTGATGATTGCATTGTCTACTTCATTTTTCACAAATCATTCTGTACAGTTGCTATCGGACCGCTGGCTGTGATTGGACACCTGTAATCGGGCAGTTAAAGAAGCCAATCATACCTTTCAGCCAAATCCACCAATCACAGAACTGATTACGATAACCACAACAAAACCACTTATCCTAAAAAAAACCTTGTGGAATTTCCAAAATCGAGGAATGTTTTATTTTAGGTATCGTCTTTACCGTAGATATTTGTCCAAAATGTATTTGTTGTTTTCAGGAATTGTAACGGTTATGATTAATTGTTAACAGGACTTTGTGTCGTCCAGTTCTGTCTGTAATCATACCGATGATAGACAAATCGGAGTCCTGCTTCGCGGTCCTCCGATTTTGTTAATCACTCGTATAATTACAGACCAAATTGAACTCCACTCGTTCTTATTGCCATTATTAATCGTCTTCATTAGTGTCATGACATAAAAAGCTCGATAACCAAACAAAAGAATAAAAAGGAAACGGTTGCATTTTAACAAACTATGGACATAGCTTATTACATTAAACACACCTAGCGATATTTTTCGTTACGTTTCGAGCTACTTGTAAATTTTCTTTTGTATTCAATACTAGTTGTTCAAAGAACCCTTATCATTCCTAAGCATGCGATTATCGTTGGATATTATGCTTACTGCATGATCTGTAGACGATACAAGCATCTAAGCGGAGACTGGGGCAGAACTTAGCCCCTTTTTCGCTGCACGTGTGCTCTGTCCCTCAGTACCAATGCCGATCAATAAACAGAGTGTGTATGAATGCATTTAACTGGTAAAAAATTAAATTCACCTGTTTGAAACCTGTCTCATGCAGGTAATCTTGAAAGTCAAAAGGTTTAATTTAATTGACGTCACCTGTTTGGGTGTGGTCCTCGTTTCATTTTTCTTGTTCGACAATTTTTTTTTAATGACTTCTACTTAATAGGCGCAACAAGAGATGAAAAAGCTGAGGGAAAACTCGAAAAGAAACCGCACGATTATAACAGATTTTGTGATATATTCTCAAATCTGCATCAGCCCTCCAGCAGCAAACAGCCAAACGTGAATACCAGTTAAGGGTTTCAAATAAATCATTAAAAACAACTGGACGACCCTGCCGTAAAGCTAATTAAATTTTAAACAACGCCATACATGTCGACTAGCATTTTTTCACATCCACGGCGTGCCAGATTTCACGGTAAGCCGAACAGGCTTCTCAGGCACGAAATCGCTCTCCTATTCGTATCAAACACTTTCATCTCATTCTTCAGAGCTGGTCTACTCGACGCATCTGACCGAAGAGGAAAAGTAAGTCAGTGATCTTTTGAATTACTTTTGAGATCGCGATTACTGATGTTCCTATTTACCGCGTAATGCGCGTTTGGTAAAAGCAAGCTCTCTTAAGTTGCCTTTCTGGGAAAGTGACTTCAGTTCACTTCTTCTTAAAGGGAAACACATTAGTATAAATAATTGTGCAGACTAAACTAAAATTTTATCTTTGTTTTGGTAAAGTTGTGAACCAAGATGGACTGTTATGTTTTTGGTTTGTTCCTTGTCAGATGCCGCTAATGAGTTTATTTCCATCACAGTCGCAGTAATAATTGAGTCCCGTTCAGTTCTCAAATTTTCTCGATCGAAACATAAACAATTTTAAATCTCTATTTTGCATTTGTCCGTAGACAATTTTTATTGGTTGGAAACGCATCATGGTTGATAGTCTTTAAGCCTCAAAAACCGCAACTTTATCATTCGTTTCTCCTCTTACATAATTTGGTTACAGTCACCTTAGATATCGTATACATACATTGTCTATTTACATCAACATTTGACAGGTCGACCATGTTCAGTATCTACCTTGCGCGTGACGGATGTAGTCACGCTATCTCCCATGAAAACCTGAAATAAATAAAGAAACTAGTCGCGATCTTTGTTCCAGGTAGCAAACCTCTGGAATTGGAAATAGCGAGGGTGAGGTCGGGGATCGGTCTTGCTCGATATGTCATCCTCAGCCCCTTTCCCTCAAACCAGCCCCAACTCGAGTTTTGGACTTCCTTTGATAGAATGCGTCGTTACTTTTCGTATGTCGTTTCGCGATGATGCCAACAATTTTGTACAAAAGTCCTATAAAACCAACTGCATGTATAGATGATTACTTTGTTTTGCAACACTGTGTCCCGAATTAAACAGAATTTTTCTCAGCAAAAAGTCACAAGTAAATCAAATATAACATCCTAGGGCGACAGGAAGATTAAAAAATGGGAAAGGAAAATAAGAAAGAAAAACATGGAAGTTAGCTACAAACTATATTGCTCAGCACTTGTTTTTTCAAGCTTGAGTTTCCGCGAGTTTTTTTGTTTTTGTTTTTTTACTGTTTTTTTGTTTTGCTTCTTCGACCATCAGCTAAGAAGTGAAGCAGAATCTAACGCGTCCTCTAATTGGTCTAATTTGGCGTCACAAGTTATTTGAATCAATCTGATTGGACAGTGTGATAGAAATTGTGGCGCTAACGACGGCGCAAGCACCCGAAGCAAGCTGAAGCCGTAGGTACCATCATCGCTGCTCGAAGCCAACCTTCCGCAGTCCGCAGCCCCAAACATTGATCCTATTATATGGAAAATCATCACAGGTAAGCTTTGACGTTGCAATTTTAATAACTCCTATGTTTTTTGAACACGTTCTTAAAGCAAAAATAGACAATTTGCATTCTTCGCTTGAAACTAAATCAAAATGTAGGAAATCTCGGTAATTTGACTTGATGACGAACTCCGCGATAAAATCTACGCTTTTTTTGCCAGACCAGATTTATATCACGGAGACATATTGAAAGCTATGTATTTTTAAAACTCTGAGTTTGTATAAACAACACATTTGACTGTTTCAAAGCTACTTTTTAAGTCAGCTCAATTTTACAGAGAAATCAATGCAGAACTGTCAAGGACGACGAATGCATTTCAACCTTGCTTGATTTGTTTTCATTTACATACCCTCGTATCATCTTGATTTTTCTTTGGCTGACTTCCTCACTAAGCCAAAAAATTGAGATAATCAATTATTAATCTTGACAAAGCGTACTTCGAAAGATCAAGAAAACTTGCAAGTCAAAATAGACACCAGCTCAAGCAAGTCATTTTAGGCTAAAAAGAGAAGCTTAGTTCTAACCTACAAGTTGAGGATAAGTATATCAGTTTAGCTGAGTATCAGAATAAGAATAAGTTGGAAATAAGCTTCTGCAACAGACTCAACATCCTACAAACGCCTCCAGTTTTTGTATCTGCGACCGAAAAAAAAAATCCAAACTGATGTGCGTATGAAAAATCACAGAAAGGTTTTCTTTGTTAATGTTACCAAGATTAAATAAATTCCACTCTGGAATACAAGCTCATTCAGAGCTCTGTTTATTGTGTGCAGTTCATTAAAATCGTATCAATAGGGAAAAAAATCTCCAGTAAATTTAATTTGAAACCAAACAACGATTATGAGTAAAAGTGAATGAAGTATTAATTAGGTTAGCTCGCTCCTGCTGAAACGTATAACTAATTAACAAGCGAACTGGTGATATTGACTCTGAATGTGATTTACTTTGTTCACTGAAAGAGGTTATCAGAACATTTTTTCAGAAGCTAGCAACTTTTTCTTTTTTTTATCGCATTTAAATGTTATGTTCAGTTAACTTCTTTCGATTTTATATTATTATGTATTATTTTCACAAAATTGTGCGACTGTCGGTAAAATAAATTTTTGTAGATGTACACCAAAAGAACATGGCGCTGTAACACTGAAATAAAAGCGTATTTTTTTGCTTAGCTTTTTAGCCAAACTTATAAATGGTGCTATTGCTGGAGTGGTCGGCGTTGCATGCACCTTCCCATTGGATTTGTGTAAAACAAGACTACAGGATCAAAGACATCTTGGGGCTCAAAAGCACTACAAAAACTTGTAAGTTGCATGTGGATTTCATAAACACAATGATCTGCAGTATTCAATGGAGTGTATTCTTCTACAGTACTGTGGTACTGTGCCAAGTTGTTCATTCTAGGTCATTGCAAAATTAGTAACAAACATAGAACCTTTGACAACAGAACAGTTTTTGGGATCGCTGACGTTTATATGGCTTAATTTTTTTCATTCAAACGAGGCTTTAAAACTCAATATACAAAATGGTGATCAGAGCATAAATATCTTAACTGTATGACTCTTTTCATCATGCGAAGTTCCATTGACTTTTGAGGCAATTTGCTTTCGCAAATGGTCCTTGCCTTCTCTTTAGAAGCAGCAAGATCTACCCTAAAAGCATGTCTTCGATTATTTCTTCCGTAGAGCGGACTGTCTATGGAAAGTGGCAAGAGCAGAAGGGGTGAGAGGTTTATACAAAGGTTAGTTCCGTCTAAGGGATCCTTACGATCGCTTCAAGTATTATTGTTAACCATTTTGTTAGGGGATGTGGATGCTTTATTCAGAAATCATCTCATCAGAGGTACACTATATGATCACTATTATGAAGGTATGGATGTCAACAGATGATTGTAATACGTTTGATAAAAATCAGTTGTAGCAATGGTTCAACCATCAAACCCCGTTGTACATTTTTTATCTCCTTTAGGCATAGGAGTAAATTTGTTACTCATAAACCCGGAAAAGGCATTGAAACTTGCTGTAAACGACCAGCTAAGACAGATGTATGGTGGAAGAAGGTATTTCACCGGATCAGAAACTTTGTGGTGTTTTTAGGTTTCGAGGAAATCGGTGATGGATACATTGATTTCGTTCGATTACAGATCCAAGTTCTGAACTTAAACCTGAAAATAAGTTAAAAAGTAAATTGAGTGTTTTTCGCCCTCCAATCCGTTTTAATCTTCTCCATCGTTTACCGCTAGTGTTTGCCACTTTTCACTTTTGGCAAACTAGTTTGAAGTGTAGTCCAATTTGGGATAACCCAATAAACAATTCCAAGTGGTGTCACGTCTCGCTGGTCCAATCCTTCTTTCCTGTCTACATTTCAGACACACCCTTCCCTTGAGCAAAGAGATGATCGCTGGTGGAGCTGCTGGGTTTTGTCAGGTGAGAGTCAAAAACTGTTCACGGTATTATCTACAACGCTCAGTTATGGCGACATTACGTATCTCACAACACCTAAAATCTATTTTTCCGTACTTTATGAGCTTTATTTTAATATGAAATTGTCTGGTTGTTTTATTTTCCTTCCAGGTGGTCATTACCACACCGATGGAAATGCTCAAAATACAGCTTCAGTTGGCTGGATCACAAACAACAGGTACATTATACTTACAGGGGACCCTAGCTCAGTTTGACTGCTACATTTGTTTCACCCTGAAAAGGACGATTCCATTCTCAATAGGGTTGGGAAACCTGTAATATTTGGTCAGAAAACAAGTTCAGTCTTATATTTACTTTTTTACCAATAGCTCCCCGGATAGCCAACTCAACTACCACTGTGGCGGCGGCGAGCTCAAACGTTAGGACGTTCGGCACCAATTCAAGCACAGCCCCCCAATCCGCCCTAAGAATAGCACATGACCTGATGAGGAGCAAGGGTATAAGTGGCATTTACAGAGGACTTGGCGCCACATTACTGAGGTATTGTGGGGGAGAAAGTCAACAAATATTACGCCACGATCACTATGGTCTTGTAGTCTGTCATATCTCTCGAGTGTTTTTTGAACGCTGATTCTATACTTCTTTCATTGTTTTTCTCGCCAGGGACGTGCCGTTTTCCTGCATCTACTTTCCTCTGTTTGCCTATCTCAGACTTGAGGTAAGTGAAGAAATACATAAATAAAATTACCGTTATCCTGTAAGCAAGCCCTGGTTAGTAGTGCCACTGGACGCAGAATCCTAGATAATCACTCGCCGGCTCGCGTCGCTCACAGCCTCATACCAGCCCTGCCTTACATTTTCCCATGGGCGAGAAAACCCGTGCAGAAGTGTGAGTAGCCTGGGCCTGCTCGCATGGTATATTGCCCCGGGAATGACTTAGCGATGGTGTCTTTTGTTTAGTTTCAGGGAGATGGGACACACAACCATGCCCCAGGGCCACTACAATCTTTGATGGCAGGGTGTACTGCTGGTTAGTTTGTTGTATTTTGCTTTCTGTTCACTTTCTGTTCACTTCAAACGATTGGGAATTAACCGGAAAACAGCCGGAACTTCTTCAATATCGTCAATACTGTATTTCCTCGAATAATGGGGGGACGCTTATTGGAAGGAAGGCACTCATAAGAACTATTAACCTGTACTGATTCAGCTGTAGTTGACGCTTGAGGAGTTAATAAATTGGGGTAGAAACAGGTTTTTCTTGTATCCTTACTATCTAGGAAAATGAGGGGTTGGGGGGTGTGCGCTTGTTTGATATTTTGGCCAAGGGCGAGGGCGCTTAATCGGGGAAGGGTGCTCAATGGAGAGTTGGCGCTTATTCGAAGAAATACAGAAAATAGCATTAGTTGATCCTTTTACAAACACGGAAGGTTGTTTCGCGTGGATTACCAGCCAGAAAGGAAATAGTATCTCCAAACATCATGTATCCGCGTTTGTGTTATGATCAAAACTAATAACCTTTAATGTTTCGATCCAGCTATGATAGGAAGTGCAGCTGTCACTCCATTGGATGTGATCAAAACAAGGCTCCAGGTGATAAGAACAGGAGGAGAAGCTGCCTACAACAGTCTGTGGGACTGCGTTCAAAGAACCTACGTAAATGAGGGGATAAGCGCATTTTATAAGGGAGTGGTGCCAAGGATGATCGTAATTGCACCGTTGTTTGGGATTGCCCAGATGGTATACTTCTTGGGAGTGGCTGAAAAAATATTGGGACTTGAAGCGGGAGAAATTTGAGCTAGATGGCTATAAAAAAATAAAGCTAACGGTTCATGTAAATAAAAGAACAATCAAGAACGAGTTGGGGCATGAGTCAACTTCATGCGTACACAGAAAAAAGGGACAACGATTTCGTGTAAATACTAAAGGCTCAAAGCTTTTTGAAAATTCACTAGACTTCTGTCAAAGGTGTAGGGTAATGTAACCAGTATTTATTAACATGTAGTATTATAATTCCGCTCTCGAAGATTTTACGAATCAGATCTGTCCAAATTATGTGACAGTGGTAAATTGTAGCTGGTTTCTAAAGCTTGCACGAGTAACAGAGAAAGGTTAAAACCGTCTGATGAGAATTTGCAGAGAACTTCATAGGAATATGTGACAGGTATCTTTGACAGTCTATAAAATAGACGTCAATATCTCATCTTCACATGGCAGTAGGATAAAAATAAACAGTTGAAAATGAATGGCATCACTGATGTAATGATGTTATTTAAACCCCTCAACTCCCAAGATCTGATTGCTAATTCTTCCGTCTTGTTGCTACAAATTTCCTTGTAAGTTACGAAAATTTGTCAAAAGTACTAGATAACAACTTCTACCTGATAATTTTGAGTGTTCTCATTAACCACGTGATGGATAATGTATGGATATTGTAGGGAGAAGTTAAAGTTAATCAGTTCTGGGAGGTAAAGGGTTAAACCTTACTGTGACAAGAGGACAAAACAGAAAGTATGGGGTCAACTTAGAAGCCTTATTCAAGTTTACTAGATAATTGGGACAATCCAAGTCATGGTCTAAAATTGTACATAATTAGCTTTCTCAATTCTTATGTGTTTTTATTTCAAGTATCATCAAATCTTATTTAATTACAGGACATGGAAAAGCCCTTTCTGCTTTCCCCCCTCTGCCCTTCAAAACAATTCTGACCAAAACAGAGCCTGGAAAACAAAAAAAAGCAAATCAAAGCAAAACAAAACAATACTAGCATTGACAACCAGCACATGCTAACAAAAAAAACACAAAGAACAAAAAAACAAAACAAAACAAAACAAAAATAACCCCTTCCAAGTAAATTCAAAGGAATGTTCATCCAGAAAGAAGTTTACACACATTTTTTTTATCAGTAGGCGGTCATATGGTTTTAGGATAGGAAAGGAAAATTTGTATAAAGGAAACAAAGTTTGTGGTCAAGAAATTGGGCACATCAGTCGAAGAATGCTCTTCTGGTGTTTGCACCAAATAAAGTCTCCCTAATCTCTGGCATCATCTGCAATAACAATGAAAGAAACATTTAAACATTTAAATAAATAAATGTATGTAAAAAATTAACTCATATGCTACTTCAATATAGGATATAATTACACACCTGTTTACTCATCATTTCAAGGCGGCTCTCTAATGTGTTTACAACTTTAATCCGTCCTTGTTTTGCTAACAATTCAACACCACCCGCACTGCAGTTGAATAGAATAATGATATAAATATATATACAAAATAATTGCATAAAAATTACAAGGTTGGTTTGGATATGTTTACAGCCAGTCTGTGTAGGTGACAGTTCAACATATTTTGATGTGTTCTAATGTCACAATTCAAAAGTGAGGCAGGATAAGTGCATTGTGCAAACCCACAATTGTCTACTTTGTTCCTGCTTACCATAGAAAAACAGAGATTGTTGCTGTAAGAACCACTATGAATGTCTCTCACCTGGCATAGGGCTGACTGGACACCTTACAAATTCAGAGTGGTAACACAAGAGCCAGAGAAATCACTATTAAACCCTTCCTTTGACCCCTTAGAGTAACTAGTGTCTAATTTCTCCTTACAATATCACCTGTGAATCACATTACGGTCATGAGAATAAAGGAAATGATCAATCACTAAAACAATCTCAATTTCCCCTCTCAAGTAGGCACCCCCCTTCTCCCTCACTTTTTCAAATAGTAGGGATACTAGGAAAACCTGTCTCTTTTACCACCTTTTTAAAGCTTCAACTACAGAAGAATCAATACAGAATAACAGTTTGATAATACGCACCCCCTTTGATTAAGCACCCTCCTCTCAATTAGTGACCCTCCTTTTGGCTGAAATTTTAAGTAAGTGCCCGGGTGTGGAAGTATGGTATTTCTAACTGCTCTAGCATCAAACAACATACTTACCAGTCAGAGCCTAAAAATGTCTGTTCATCAATGCTTAATTCTACACTTTTCTTTGTGGCTTTTTTATATTCCTCAACAGCAGCATCCTTTACACCCTGCATAATTATTAAGATATTATAACAACTGAAATCTTTTAATTTTCATTCCTATTAAATTTTATAAAAGTAAAAAAAAGTAAAATTCAGTGTGGTGTTAAAGTATGTTCAAACTTTGTAAAATTTTTATGTTGCATTGCACCAAATAGTGGCTTCATTTTTGTGAAGAAATATCTATTTAAGCATCAACTGAATGTTTACATTGTTATTTTATAATTCTGGCTGTCATTAAGTCAGTTTCCATGGAAAAAAATCTTACAAAATTTATGGATTCAAAATTTGTTGAAAGCAAACACAAAATTGCAGTAAAAAAGACCCTTTTCAATGTGCTGACAACCAAGAAGTTCAGACATAACTACCTTTTTCAATGTTTGTGCAAGGCCATATACAATCAAAACTTTTAATAAGGAGTTGAGATTCAGACCCACATTTGTTATAATTAGATTTGTGAATATATCATAGAAATCCAAAGTTAAAAATACTACCTTCAAAATATCAAGGTCTTGTTGGCGACACCGAATTGACACAGCTGGCTCCAGGAGCTGAAATAATCCCTGAAGAGGAGACAGTATATTTTCATGAAAACACTTAAAGTACTTATACCAAGTAATTGCAAACAATTGCCCTGAAACAATGACAAAATGTGAGGCAGCCACATTGAAAATTAGTGCCCCTGGTATAATCACCATGTGCAAGGTGATTATAGTGAGATATAATGCAATCCTCTACCAATAAGAGTATGCACATCTCTTTTCACCTGAGCAATTATGTCTAATACCAGATGTTAGATGAAGCTAAACTTACTTGTGTTATAAGGCCTTTGACAACTTGCGAGTACTGAGTCTTGTCTTGTGTCACCTTACCAAGCTGTTTAACTGCATCATCAAGTATAGCCTGTGAATAACATGCGATAAGATTCATCCACTTAATGGGTTGACTAAAACAAAACCGAGGGATTCCTCTTTTCACCAGAAATTGATAATACAAATAGTAAGAATGACATTTTGATTTTTCTCCCAATCTTTCCCTTTATCTACTTCAATCTGGATTGTTTTGCAAGTCTAACCCGTTCCACTTCCAAGATTTCATTTATTTTGCAATTCTCCTTCCTGTCTGCTACACAATTTCCATGATGCAAGTTTGAAGAATTTTGCACTGGATAAACTAATGATTCCCTTCTGATGCTTTTCTTTATTCTCACCAATCATCTGCTTGACACTGTATTATCATTGTAAAGTAAAACTCTGTCTTGGTCACTGATGGGAGGTAAAGGATTAACCATGTAGGACATTTTGACCTTCCAAGTCAAATAGGGTTTAAAGTTTTAATTTCTGATTTGACCAAATCTTGTCTTCACATTTAAAGTAAGTTTGCAATTACCCTGATATGATCATCCTGTGCCTTGAGGGTCTTCAGTCGTGACTGATTCAGCTGATTTGATCTCTGACTAAATATTAACATTGACAAAAAATATGTATGCAAAGATTGTTTTCAATATATATATAAATTAGATATATGTTGTCAAAATTGTGTTATATGTACATGTGATTATATGATACACAATCGATTTTGAGGTAAATTTTCTTTTTGTATGCAAAGATGAAACTTTTCATTTTGTGGATTTTCACATCCAAGTACTAAATTATTCATCAAGGCAAAAGATTCACAACATCAATTATTCAACAAAAAAAAAATCAGCTAAAACTAAATGTTACAAGATTTTGTTCGAGTTTGGCTTGGAGTTTTAAATTTTACTTCTGCTTGGTTAAATAACTATACTACAAAAGGAGCCATAGGTACCAAAAACAAAAAGGCTTCAAGATAAACTGAGCTAAAGATTTTTAATAAAACTAAAAGGCGATCAGCTAACAAGCACTCAACTTTTGTTCTCAATAATCCTGTATAATTATTTTTTTCACTACTGGAAATAAAACTAACAATCTCTTGGAAATTTTGTGATCACAGCAAAAATTTACCTTTTCATTCCTGTTTTATTAAGACATAAATTACTCAGTCCCAACATCTCTAAAAAATCTGATGAAAATGTCTTTAAAAACATGAAATATAATAAACATGTATATCATATTCCTACCTATAACAATTTAATTACCTACAGTGGCTAAGCTACACTTACATTTTCTTCTGCAACTCAACTTGCTTTTCTTTCTTCTCATAAAAAGTCATTATTTTGAGACGCTCCTGCTGTACGAGGCGACCTTTCTCAATATTGAACTCTTCTTCTGCCTAAAAATAGGTAAATGGGACAAAATTGAAGGGGTTGCTTTAACCCTTTACTCCCTAACATCAGTATCCATATTCTCCTTACTACTCTCTAGACATTTCCTAAGGTTCTGACAAGGAGAATTTGTTCAGCAATCAAGAGCTTCTTTAGTTGGTGATCATCTCCTTTATTCTCATGACCTTAATGTTTAATTTAGGGATGATGCTGTAAGGAGAAATTAGATGCTAGTCGCTCTTAGGGGTTAAAGGGTTAACCATTCTAGATGATACTTTTTATTCTGGGATTTAAACCAGCGCTCCCAAAGCTTTGCTAAGTCAACCAGGATTAGTAGAAAAGAGAAAAGCATCTTTTTTGATTACTCATTCTTTGAGAAAACTTCAGACATACCACCCTTTTCTTTGACCAGTATAAAGGCTATAAACTAAGGTTGTAATATGGTGCCAGTAATAGGTAAGCAATGGGTAGATCACGAGGCCATCAACAAGAATAAAAAAGGAAGGGGTACTTAAGAGTACACTGTACATTTCACCTCTATTTTTATTGATATACTTTTTTTTAAAACTATTCCTAAAACATGATTTTGCCTTTTGTAGAATGATGACTTATGACTACCTAGATCTCTGCATGAACTTGAAAGAGTATTGGGTGTCAGCTGTCACGAGTGAAGATACACACTTTAAGGTAAACGATGACTTTCACAAGATAAATGGAAGATCTAGGGAATATGAATGTGAACATCCACCCGATGAGCCGATGGAACCATGTAAAGACATGTTAGGACGAGGGGAAGACGAACGAAAGTAAGAATGGAAAGTTTCAAAGCTTAACACAAGAAAAGGATATAACCCTTGT